TAATTGCTGTTCCCAGGTCCACCCTGAATTGGGGTGGTAGCACCGGTTAGGATCCCAGCTATGGGCAAATAGTGAACTCACAAACAAAAACAAGACTATGAAAGTATAAAAATACATTTTTATGGTCAAAATACCAGCCACACATTTTTATATAAAAAAATACCAATTTATAGCAGAATTACTAACAATACTTATTTATCTGGAGTTGAAGGCATAACATTGTGTTCAAAATATTTAGATTTTGGCATTAAATAACCAATAGAAGTGTTGATATGCCACTTAACAAAATCAACCAATCAAGGACTGTTATATTTTTCTATACATGATGCTTATATTGTGATTACAGTGCAAGTATTATTCAATCTTTTTCATTCATAGTTTCTTTCTCAGTACTATCCATAATCCTAAAAGTTACTCTTTGAAGTTTGTTCAACCAACACTATATATTCCTGACAGAACTCTATCCAAGAGATTCCATAATTATCTCTTGACTTTCAACATACCAACTTCACAACAACAGTCTGTAATACTAGTAAAAGTGACAATGATTTTTTTTTTTTTTTTATTTACCATAATTATCAATCTACAACAGGTGATATAAGCTATAGCAATTTTCTAAGCATAACTTAGATGTGGCACAAGGCCGAAAGCAGGGGGCACCCAGTGAGGATTGAACTCACTATTCAGTAGTAATTGTTCTAGCGAGACAGGATTGCTAACCATTACACCACCTTGAGGTGCCCAAAATTGTAAACTATAAGTATCAAATGAATATCAGGTGATCGTCCACACACTCACCATGAAAAAGTACTTAGTAACCGACCAAGGTGATGTGGATATCCTAATATACTAAGAGTACTGAATGCAATTGGTAAACCAATTCAGCTTGGATAGTTTGTATTAAGTGTTAAGCTAGCAACCTTGTAAAATCCACTTATTACTAAAATCAAAGCAACAACACATGTGCTAGTTGAAGCCAAATTCTTCACAATGAGTCCACAAGTAAAAAAAAAAAAAAAAAAAAAAAAAAAACTCTCCTGTAAGTCAAGGCTTATATCACAGACCAATTTGGTAATGGGTTCTCCACTGTAGCCTTACACCAAAGTAAGCTTAATACCTTAAATTCAACTCTGGAAAAAAAAAAACTTGTATATTAAATGGAAAAAATACATCAAAAAATATCTGTTAATAAGTTATTATATTTCTGAAAAAAAATCCTAATTAATAATATTGATGAAACATTTTCGTTACATAATACTTTTAGGACCTTTTTATTCTACCCCTAAAAATAAATGTGTTTGAGACTTTCAATACTCTTAAAAGGTTTTAAAGTTAATCTTTTTGTGTTGGATATGGCTGCCAAATTTGACAAAAATCAATATAAATTGTATTTTAAGACAATGTGTAAGTAGATATTGTATTTTAGTCTTTACTATGTATATTATCAAATAATTCAAAATGTTCATTTGATTTAAAAAAAAAAAAAAAAAAAAAAAAAACATGTCTTAAAATATTTTCCATAAGTGGAACATTAGATACTAAAAGTTAATATAAAAAATATGCAAAACTCAGAACAAAAAAAGGTTTTAGAAATTCTTACTTGAGTTTTCTTAAATGTTGCACACATTCAGTGGTTTGTTTTTGTTGCTTATAAGAGAAAATAATAAACAGAATATTTAAAGGTGGATTAATTAAAGATCATAAATTAATTGGATAATGAGTTGCACGTGATTAATTTCAAAATTTAAAAAAAAAAGGGGGGGGAATGAAATCAAATTCTACATTTTTTTTTGAGATGGGGATAACTACTTGTGACTCAAACTACCAAACAAATCAGAAACAAAGAGTTTCTCTGTTTCGTGGAACTAACAAACGATTTTCCCACATCAAAAATAAAATTTCATAATAAAACAAAAACAAAAAGATTTCAATGAAGTCAGTTTTAAGAAAAACACAAAAATTCATCAACATTCATGTTTTCAAATAAAATCTTTGTAACAAAGTCCTTTCCATACCCCCCCCCCAAAGATATACACCGTCATACTATATGTATAAGACGCAGCGTTTTTTTTTTCATCCAAAATCGTGCCCAAAAGAGTGCTGCATCTTAGATTTTAGTTTAGAACTCAATCTCATTTTGTCCAGGACACAAAATGGATTTATTTGTTTACCAGAGAGATAATATCTATCCAATGGTAGATTGCAACAAAGGGAAATAAATCTTGCATGTTTCTCTAAGTCTCATACGTTTCCATACCTTTTCCGTATTTCATTGAGTTTAGAAATCTAGATGACTTTGGAAGTCATTCAAAGCTGAAAATATTATTTATCATTTTAAAAGAAATACAAAATGGTGCATAATTTCAAAATAAAAATCATAACAAGTAATTTTTTTTATTTAAAGGCAATTAATGACTGTCTCACAGTTAAGACCTTTCACAAATTTGGCAAACAACCCATGACCAAGTTTGATGTTTGCCACATAGGCCTTTTCAGGACTACAGTCATTTTTAGATGACACAAAGAATTTTGAAAGAAATACCTCAGATTGTCACAAAAAAATTAAGACCAATATAAGTTTTATTCAGTTTTATTTTGATTAATTTTTCGAGCGTGTATTAACAATTTAATGGTCTTATACTCCAAAAGTCATTATCACATTTCTTTAATGCCTATGAATCACAAAAAAATATAGATTGTTCCGTTTTTTTTTTCATTTTCTTGACTCTAAAATCAGGTCTGTTTTATACATGAAAATATTTTTTTTTTAATGGAATTTTTCTACATTTTTAACTGCATCTTATCCTCCCTTCAAACAATACACAAAGCATTACTCATATATATATATATATATATATATATATATATATATATATATATATATATATATATATATATATATATATATATATATATATATATAGGCAGCATATTTTCATTCAAGCCTGTTTGGTTAAATAATTTAGATGTATTATGTCCATTTATTAATCCTTTCAAGTCTACAAATTAATTTCTTGGTGGCTATAGAAAATTGATCAAGAAAAATTCCAAAATTTTCTTTCAAATAATTTTTTTTTTATTTTCCACAAGTACATTCAATCTCATCTTCAGGGGGTTAAAATATCTGTGGAGGTGTATACAGTAGCTCTGTAAATTAAAAATATTTTTTTCACAGTTCATCTACTGTATTTCCTATTCAAGCACCAAGAAATTAATTCATCGACTTCATAGGATTAAAACTAAAATAAATAGACATATATATATGTGTGTGTGTGTGTGTGTATTATTGTGAAAGGTAAGAATTGATTAGTAGGGAGGGAATAGTGGAAGTGGGTTAATTTGTAAAGAAGACTAAGTGGCTAGGTCAGTTGGATAGTTAAAAATAGAATAAGGGTAGATCTGTGGGCTTAATGTAATGAGCTGGGCTGATTTCAAATGAGAAGATGAAGTTGGTTGTAATGGTGGGTGAGTGAATAAAGAGGCTACGTAGATTATTAATAGATTATTAATAGTAAAGGGGCTATGTAGATTATTGAGTGATGAGTAGATTGGTAGGATTAATGAAGAGACTACATTAATTTTTAAGGTGTATCATGAGAAAAAGTTGATTTAACCAGGGTGAACAAGGGGGATGGGTCAGTTGTTTTTTATAACAATTTGATCTTTTTCTTTCTAAATATGCCACAGTATCATCAAAAAAGATCAATTCTGAATCATCTTTATTTGCTGGGATTCAGGCTTGGATTAATATTTTAGCTACAATGAAATCAATAAAATCTACCAAACAGTATCATAGCAAATGGATAAAAATGTCTTGAATGATTTCTACCAACAAATTTTGAGAATATTATGGACACATGTGACAAACAAAAACGTTTTCAGGGGGACACAAAAAAAATTCATAAAGAAGTACATATAGTGTTGTTAAAAACCAGAAAGAAACAGCAAAATATTTGGGGGACATGTAATGAGGAAAGAAGCCTTGGTGAATTTAACACTCACAGGAAACATTGAAGGCAAGAGAAACAGAGAAAACCAATAAGGTAGACACGTTAGAATAAATAGATTGTGGCTTAAAACAACAAAACACAGGAAGTAGTAAAGATCCATAATCACCAACATCCTCAGAGGACAAGATACATAGAGAAAATAATACACTTTCTTTAATTCTGACAATTCTTTAAATCAAATTCTCATTTGTCAAAGAATCTTTCAAGGTCGGCATTTCTCTGTAATTTAAGAAGTTTTTGTGTGTCAGTATATAACACAAAACTCAAATAATAGTAACCTTGAAAATTTCATGGTTTTTCTATTCAGTTTCTTTAGGAAGAAAACATTTAATAAAACTGGATTTTTTTTAATCGTGTCACCCAAAGGAAGGTGATAATGCCACTAGGATGCAGGGGGTTATGAAAGAGAATGAGAATTTAGTGTGGGGAATTGAGGATAAAGGAAAATGAAGGAATAGGATTCAAGACAGAAAATAGCGATTGATGTTGCATTTAAATTTTGAAGATTGTGGGTGTCAATAAGGAATGAGAAGAGAGTTCCACAGGTGAGAAAAGAAACGATTAGAATTGAACTTAATGTTACATATAGCTTGTTCAACAGTACAATATTGAGATGTAATAGTCAATCTAGCAGTCCACTTAGAACTGCCATGAAAATATTTATAAAAAAGACAGAGGGAAGCCATGTCATGGTGAAGTCGAGATGTCATGTCAGGGCCAATAATACTACAGACACTTTGTATTTTGTCAAGAATCTCAATATTTGTAGCCAGAAAACTAGACAAGAGATGGCAGCAATATGTAATGCACAGACGAATGGCAGATTTATAAATGTGCAAAATGTATTCTGACAAGAAAATTTGTTTGGCAGTATTGCATCATTTGAGAACATTCTTCAAGTATGATATAACTATGGATATGAAGCAGAAACAAAGAAATCTTTGAATGTCTTGAATAGAGACACAGATGTAGAACTGCCAAAAAGAAGTCTCAGAAATGGTGGTGGTGGTGGAGGCAGGGGAGGCATGACAAGTGAAGAGAGTTGCTAAAATAGGTGAAAAAAGTTTAAAGAATACAAAAATAAAGCTGAAGACAAAATGTATAATGGAAGATAAATACTGGACAACCTAATAATCAAACGAGATTTTCTAAGCAGAGATTTTCTAATGCATTGCTACAAGAGGAGTCCAATTTGCATAATACCAGTGTTAGTCTGTAATTTCAGGACAACTTTCATAGTTTTTGGCAAGTTTATTTGGCATTTTCTGCTGTTTTTTTTTTTTTCTTTTTTTAAATCAATTCATTCAATCCCGAACAAGGTGATAATGCCACTAAGATACAAGGAACTACTGAGAGAGAAAGAGAATGAAAAAGAATTTAGAAGGAACCAGAAACCCAATCCTAAATAGAAAACAAGTGATAAACCTCTACTCCTGTTCAAAAGACCAGGGAGGACTGGATGATGGGCAAACCTATTTACTCCTATTGAGAAAAATTAAATATATAGTAAATAAAATTTCAGAGTTCAGGCAGATACGTTAGAAGTATACAGTTAAAGTCAACTTTAGAATGACCTGGAACCCAATTCTCAAACAGGAAACAAGGGATACACCTCTACTCCTGTTTCAGAGACTGGTGAAGAGTTCAAACTGATGAATTACAAATTAATTTTCTGGTCAAAAAAAAAAAAACTCCTTCACTTTAACCAAGTTTTAGTCTGTTTAAGGAAGTTTTCCTACCAATCCCTACTGACCAATTGACCCAACCCTAACCCTCAAAATCTAACAAAAAGCCTTTTACTATTAGTCTACCAGAGCTGTTGCAGATTTTAATGTTCTCAATCTTTAAATGTTCCGCATCTGCTCTTTCCAAATTCCAAATTGATTCATGATAATGTATCTGTATTATTATACTTCTGCTTTCTAAGTACAACTGCCATGCTCTTTCTCCTTAAGATCAGAGTGTAGTATCTGCTCACTTCCCAATTCTTCTGAGTTGGAATCCATTATGTTTTCTGATGGAGAAGTAATAATAGTAAATGGGAAGAGATTGCGAAACTCGTGGGAGGAGAGGTGGGCAGAGGAGCGCAGGGGAAGAGAGAGAGGTGGGCAGAGAAGCGCAGGGGAAGAGAGAGAGGGAGGTGGGCAGAAGAGCCCGAGGAGAGAGAGAGAGAGGTGGGCAGAAGAGTGCGAGAGAGGAGATGTGGGGGGGAAGAGCGTGTGGGGAGTAGAGGTGGGCGGAAGAGCGTGTGGGGAGTAGAGGTGGGGGGGGAAGAGCCTGTGGGGAGTAGAGGTGGGGGGGAAGAGCCTGTGGGGGGGAGTAGAGGGTGGGCAGGGGAAGAGCCTGTGGGGAGTAGAGGTGGGGGGAAGCGTGTGGGGGGGTGGAGGGGGGGGGGAAGAGCGTGTGGGGAGTAGAGGTGGGCGGAAGAGCCTGTGGGGAGTAGAGGTGGGCGGAAGAGCCTGTGGGGAGTAGAGGTGGGCGGAAGAGCCTGTGGGGAGTAGAGGTGGGCGGAAGAGCGTGTGGGGAGTAGAGGTGGGCGGAAGAGTGCGAAGGAAAGAAAGATATGAAGTAAAAAAAAAAAAAAAATTTTAAACAAAAATAAAAACAGGTGAACAAAGAAAATTTTCAATATAATTATATTGTTTAAATTGTGGACACTGATTGAACTCACAAATTTTGGGGTCAAGTCACTTTTTCGGTTAATTAATAGGGACACATGGCCCAGTAGATAAAAGTGATGGTTGACTGACCCAAAAAGTAACTTAACCCCAAAAATGTGTGTTCAATCCTTGGCCACAGCAGAGAGAACAAAAACTTGGAGAGTTGAGTTATTAAGAGGAATTAACTGAAGCTGAGATATCCAAAGGCATGGCACGTGGAATTAGAATAACCTATCCCCATGGATTAAAAGGTTTGAAATTCCAATATATATCAACTGAAGAAGGCTGAAACTTATGATGACCAAAACATAAAAAGATGAGGACAACAGTCCAAACAATGCAAATAGTGTAAATATTCCTGGAAAGTAATTGATATTTGGCACCTGACTGAGATGGACAGCCTCCACCCACACCCCCAAAGGTTCCAGACTGGATTATGCTTCTCTAAATTCATACTTCCAATATGCCAAATTGCTTACTTAATGACCCCCATTCCAGCTACATTCACAGATTTACAAGCCTGCAAACATGCTCACAGGTAAGATGTCAAATTATTTATTTTATACAATCTTAGATTACTTTATTATTTTTTTATGTTATAATCTTTTTGTTTATTATGTTTTTATCATATAAAAGTTTTTAAAAATTATTTATTATATATCACTTTTAAAAGTTAGAAAAAAGTAGAAAATGGTTAAAAAAAAAAAAAAATAAAATAAAAATAATAATAATAATAAAATGAAATTGTAACAGTGTAACCAAAAGCATTTCAACATGAAAATGCTAACTTCTTTCAAGAAATCTTTACCATTTTCTCAAAAAACAAGTTGATTGTAGCTCCAGCTTTCAGTATATTTTTCAATGATTGTGTTCTCAGCACAATGATACAAATAGAAATTGCATATAACAATCACAATCTTGTTTAGACATGTTTTGATGATTAGAAAAACTGTCATGTTGTTGCTGAGAAAACGAAAATAAAAAAAAATCATTCATTATTTGTAATGAGCATCAAATGCATTAAGGCAGAAGAACATTGTTTAAAAAAAAAATGTGTGAAAAACAACAAAGATGAAGATAACTGTCACAAAAGTGTGCAGAATAATGAAAATACTTCATCTCAGAAGTTCAGAAAACTATTTGACCAGGTATTTCTATAAGACATACCTGATCCTAGATTAGAAAAAAAAAAAAAAACAAATTGGAAAATGAAAAGTAATCTCATATACAAAAATGATTTGGGAAAGAAATGTAAAATGCCCCAAAAAATCATCTTTATTTAAATTCTCTTGTTACAAAATTCAGATACTTTTAATGAAATGTTTATATATAATAAAATGCAAACCGAGAGTCTTGCCCTGACTTGAACATCTGACCTAAAAGTAACCAGAGAAATGACATATCTGTTATGCCAACATTCTGCTGTTAGAACAGCATTTTAAAATGAACTTGAAAATACTATATATGTCAAGTGCCCATATACAACATTTTTGATTTTTGGCACTTCAAAATCACAAAGAGATTTATAAAATAACAAAAACCACATCACTCAAACACTTCCAACAGTAGCAATAACAAAAATGGATAGCAGAAATAATGCCAGAACAAGATGTTAACTATCCACAAGAGCCAAAACAAAAGGTTTGGAAGGAAACTCCCATTAATACCAGAAAGAGCTATAACATTTACTAGACTTGAAGTCTAATTTTTAAAGAAATATTTTTATATAAATTTTAACCATAAGTAACACTAAGTGTTTGGCCAATGAATACCAAATATTTTCTGAATGGCGATGGCTATTTTCAATCTACAGGGAAAGACTTATCATTCCACTTCTCATGTCATTATTTTTATTTAATATTGTTCAATTATTGCTTGCCTATTTCCCCTGTGTGCAAATAAACACTGTCCAACCTGAGGATTGAACTCACAACCACTATGTCACCCAATTCCCAAACCAATGCATTCATTCACTCGGCCAGTGGATAATGATATAATCAAGTTGTTGACTTAGGAAGGAAACTTCCATCAATTCCAGAAAGAGCTTTAACATTTAACAGACTTGAGAAACCAAAAATTTCTTGAAAGACTGTTTTAAGAAAAGTTTTTGGGTGAATTTCAACTGAAAGTAACGCTAAATGTTTGGTCAATGAATACCGAATGTTTTCTGAATTGAGACAGCTTATTTCAACATTAAGATTATCTTTCTTGCACATGACTGTGTGAATGTCGGCCATGAATAGTCTTTTGTCTGTTTAACATTTTCTTTCTTAACACACAATTATAAAATGATTATCCATCAAATGTTTGCAGGCTTGAAGCAACATCTCTTTTTCAAGCCAAATAGTTTAAGTTTAAATGAAACATTTAACAAGTAGGAGATTCATTTTGCTGCCATTTAAAAATTGATATTTAAATGAATTTAAAACTACCTCTGTCGATAACAGTTGATTATTCTTTCAATGTATTCTTCTTAAAGACTACATGAAACAAAAGGTTAGGAAGGAAACTCCCATAAAATACCAGACAAAGTGATAACAGTTGACTTGAGAAGTTTTGTTTTCCAGAAAAACTATTTTAAGAAATATATTTTATAAATTTCAACAAAGAATAACACTAATTGTTTGGTCAATGAATGCCAAATATTTTCTTATAAGGAAATGGCTAATTTTAATATTACAATGAATTATATACTAATATGAGCAACACACCCATTATATAAACAATATATCAATTCAAATTTTCCAAAAGAAATAACTAAAATGAGTTGTACATGTAAAGAGAAAAGAAAATAATGATATATTCACAGGTGTTGACTTTTCACACTATCTTAAACAAAAGGTTAGAAAGGAAAATCCCATCAGTAGTAGAAAGAGCAATAACAATTAGTGGTCTTCAGAAGCTTATTTTCCTATAAAGCTGTTCTAAAAGATTTTATAAATTTCTACTGACAGTAATGCTAACTGTTCTGTCAAACAATGCCAAATTTTTCTGGATGGAAACAGCTGATTTAACCATTAACATAACTCATTCGATATCTTAATATACTAATATAACCAACACACACAGATAGTTATTACAAATATCACTTGAAGACAACCACCAGCAACAACAACAAAAATGCATAGCACCTGTAACTCAAAGAGAAAATAATAAAATGATCAAGATGTTGACCCTCCACACTACCTTAAACAAAAAGTTAGGAAGGAAATTCCAATCAATACTAGAAAGAGCAATAACAGTTAGTGGTCTTCAGAAGCCTATTTTATTAAAAAAATGTTTTAAAGATTTTATAAATCCCAACCAACAGTAATACTATCTCTTCAGTCAAAGAATGTTGAGTGTTTCCTGTACAGAAATCACCATTATTGAAACACATGTAAATAACGTTTATCACATTAAGAATATTAAATGTAGGAAGAGGAATCTAAATTGTCTGAATAGGATTTGGAATTTATGGAATCAATTACAAAACAAATGTTTCAGTAATTATCAAGCAATTGCCTCAAGAGCAAAAATCTTGAAAGAAAACCTTGGCAAATAATTTAAGATGGACACCAATTGTGACGGTCACCAAGAAGAATTTTTTTTTTTTATTAACAAATGGCAGGATGGGACTTTGCAATAATAAAATAAAAGAAAACTCATATTCAGTGACTAATGCAATTAGTATCAGATAAGCAACTTCAATTAAAAAAAAATGTTTACAGAAAGAAAAATAAAGCAAAGTTGTCATATATACAATTCAATTATAATATCAATTTTCCTCCAAAAGACAAAAGGAAAGGCAATTGGTGGTAAAAATATATACGTTAATTATAAATCACAGCAAAGATGAGAGAGGATGGGCTTGAATTTTTTTTTTCCCATAAAAAGAGCATTTTTCTGCTGTCATTAATCAAAAAAAAAAAAGGGGGGGGGTCAATACCAATTTCGAGTTCTTTTATGTACACAGCAGCAGCAACATGATGATATTAAGAGGAAAGGAAAATATTTATATATTATTTAACAATTTTACTTACATGTGTTATTTGATACTTTTGACTTTCTGATGTTTTGAGATGAAAATGTTTTTTTGTTTAATTTTTTATTTTATTTTAAAGGTTTTTATCTCATGTTATCACAAAAGTGTTTCCCTACAAAAATTGAACAAAAGAAATCTTTTAAAAGAAATCTTTTAAAAAAAATTAATAAGAAAAAAGTTCTCATTTTATTTCTGTCAACACGATTGGATGGAAGTATGTATAAGATAAGCTCTTTAGCTGTTTCCTTTTTTTCTGATGCCATTCCTTGCAGCGGAGGGGCGAGAAAGTGAGTTTATATAAATGATAGATCAAAATAAAAAAGATGAACAATGACAAAGAATAACAATGCAGTCAGGCACATCTGATTGCAAGAAAGTGCTTGGTTTTATGGACACATGGATCTTTAAATATGTATAGAATCATGCGTATGCTTATGCAGCGAATATGTTTTATCAAGGCAATACACAACCATGTACTTAAATATCAATACATGCAAGCATATATATATATATATATATATATATATATATATATATTACACACACACAGTTTATTTTAGGATATTACATTAAAACATGTAAAAGACGCTACAAATATGCAATCATGTTTTGATGTGTATTAACACATCTCATCAAGCATTAGTAAATGACAGGTGAATAGACAATTTATTGAGTTTTAAAAACAAGATACAACCTCTTTTCTCATGAAAAGAGGTTGTATTATGTTTTCAAATCTCAAATTGTCTACTCACCAGTCATTTCATTTTTTAATGTTTGATGTGTTAATATATGTATGTGTGTTTTAATATATATATATATATATATATATATATATATATAAAGTGTATATTTGTGCAGTAATCTGTCTAATACAAGTTTCATTAAAGACAGCTGACAAGGTACTGTAATTAAGTCCTATTACAGGTATGTTGCAGATGGAGTTTGTTAGGTTTCCATGTGTGTTTAAATGAGTTCTAATTGCAATTATCCACACAGAAACCTGCCAAAGCCCATCCGCAACATGGAAAATACAAGTATAACAGATTCATCCACATGTAAAGAGAGATTAAAAATAATGGAAATATGAAATAATAAAAAAGAAAAAGCCAACACTCCATGACATCAACTATGAACATGGCCACAATGTGCTGACCGTTTTTTGGAAAAAAAAAAAAAAATTCCCATTAATGTAGAAAAATATATAAAAATCTAAACATTCAGTTAAAAATAAAAAAAAGCCAAAAGTGCTCACATATAGAGAACATTCAGATAGTTTTCACACACTTTATACCTAGAAAAGAAATCACTTATACAAAAACAAGAAAAATTAAATAAATGCTTAATCGCAATACTTTGTCAGTCATTTTAATGAAACATACATAAATACATACACACACACATATATATATATATATATATATATATATATAAAATCATTTATTCAAAAATTATAACAAACATGTTATAAAATCACTACAAAAATAGCCATTTTGTTTCAACACTTCTGGTGTCTTCTCAAGTGATGTTGTTGAATGTAGAATAAACCCTTTATTCTACATTCAACACCATTACTTGATAGGACACCAGAAGTGTTGAAACAAAATGGCTATTTTTGTAGTGATTTTATAACATATTTGCTGTTATAAATATTTGCTTTACGCTGTATTGAGCGCTCTTTTAAGAATAGTATTTGTTGGTTTTTGGAATTTATTCCATATGCACCAATCCTATACTTGTGTGTATATATATATATATATATATATATATATATATAATTATGAAGGACTGCTGAATAATTCTTTGCCTGAACAATGAGCTGTTAAAAAATATTAATTTTAAAAGTGCAAAGTTTGATCATTTGCTAACATTTTGTAAAGTGAGTCAGGCTGAGTACTTTTCAGTATCTCTCTTTCATATATACACACACACACACACACACACACAGATGAAAAAATAAAATAAACCAAATTCATATATCAAAGTAATTAACTCCATATCATTTTTTAATCACATTTCTTCCATCTTAATTTTAGTTGATTTTCATCTCTGCCACTCAGACTGCCAGACTTCAGTTAACCAAACAAAAAAGAAAAACTGATAGAAATAATAATGGTGAAACTCTTACCCCTTTTGCCTTGTATTCCCATATCAGCTGTTCTACCAGATGAACTACAAGGAACTTTTATGGCTAGCAGAAGATCAAAGTTTCTCTTTTAAACTTACATTTCATTATTTCCTAATCATTTAGCACCATTCATTTTTTTTTTTTTTATGGATATAAAAGCAACAGAATAATCTATTTCTAATAGAATAATAAATTTTGTTGGCAATAGAATGTCTTTATTGGTTTGACTTTCAAATACTTGCAGCCATGGCATTCATTTACTAATACTAATGGTCAGATTGACACTCTTGTTAACTGCAATAAAAAATAACTATAATTAAGATGAAAGAAATACTAGTAAAAACATTAATAATGGCTGACAATGCTTCATCTAATAAAAAGATAGCAAAAAAAAAAAAAAAAAAAAAAAAATCAAAATTACTACTACTACTAAGTTTAGTTCACTTTACAGAATAAATAAGCTTCACTTATCAGAAATTTAACACCAAAAAGATGAAAATAATCCTAGGAAAGAAAAAAAGAAAAATCATAAATGTATCAATAATTAACAAGTATTTATTTTAAATTACGTTGATTTCGTTATGAGTTCAAGATTTATTTTCATTATTTCATAAGTGTTGGAAAATTTTGTTGTAATTTCTTAAATTTTTTTTTCCATATTACAATGTTTGTTCCCTGAAGATGATGTGAATAAACATTGAAATATAATAACTTTGTTTAAATACTGATTATTTCAAAGCATTTTTTATTAGTTTCATTTTGTGTTTGTGCAAAAACATTCATGAGTAGAAAATTGTTTTAGCATTTCTTACATAACAAAAACTGATTTCATTAAAAAAATAAAAAATTTAAAAAAAATTATTTTCCATGAATAAACTATTAAAATGATTTTATAACAATATGAAAAAATTTCCCATTAAAAATCCATGTGATTTCATCCCATAATTGGTTAGTGGAGAAAAGAAAATTATTTCAGCACCAAAGAATTTTTGCATTTTTGTTTTTTTTGTTTTTTATTTAAAAAAAAAAAAAAAAAAAAAAAAAAAAAGGTAAATAATATAAAATAACTTCTTCAATCTAAATACATGGTTAAGTCAATCATCCCATAGCCTAATGATGAAAAAAAAAAAGTTTTAATTTACACCAATAACAATTTTCTGTACGATCTTTTTTTGTCAATTCATTAAACTTTCATGAATATTTGACCTCATTGATCAAACATTATACAGTGAAAGTTTCAGATTATAATCCATCAAGTAACTACTTATCAGGCTATGAAATTATTGATTTGCCCTTAGATTTTTGATCAACTTTCATTTGCCTGACCATAATATGTTGCCTTGGCAAAAACATCAAACATGGCTCCTAATGCCCAGCTGATTTCAATTCCTTTCACTTTTTTGGTCAACTGTCAAAATAAAAATAAAAAAAAAGTCACATATGCATTATTAGTGGAATTTTTAAAAAAAAAGTTAATTTTAGGAAAATTTTAGCATTTTGAATTAAAGGAAAATAAACACTATTTAAATTATTTGGACTATTGTCTATCGGACTATCTTTGTAACCATATTTATTACAACGTTTCGGCCATTGTAAGCTCCAGCCTTCTTCAGATGGTTGAAATGTCCAACTTAACCCTTTATTTCGCTCACTGGGGTAGACTGTTCTAGTTCCATGTTTAATGGATGTCAGCTATCAGTTATCTCCTGTTAATTTCCCTCTGAAAGTTCTTCACTGCCTTAACCGGGTATTGAACTCACACTCTCTGGGTCCTGTCACTGGATCTAACCAATGCCATGTGTGCTTGAGGACATGTATGAATTTCTGGGTATTATAAACCTAATGTCTTCAGTAACCATTTTTACCAGTGCTCATATTGCAATTTTTGCTGTTATCATCACTTTTCTCTGGAACTCCGTATTACTGGTTCCCAAGGACACATGGCACAGTGACAGGACCCAAAGAGTATGAGTTCAATATCCGGTTAAGGCAGTGGAGAACTTTCAGAGGGGAATTAACAGGAGATAACAGACATCCATTAAACATGGCATGTGGAACTAGAACAGTCTACCCCAGTGAGCAAAATAAAAGGGTTCAGTTCGACATTCCAACAACCTGAAGAAGGCTGGAGCTTACAATGGCCAAAATGTTGTAATAAATATGGCTACAAAGATGAGGACAATAGTTTGAATAATTTAAATAGTGTTTATTTTCCTTTAATTCAGCAGTCAAAATAATGTAAATAGTGTACATAATACCTCATCTCAGAAATATAGACTGATAACCAGTTTCACTTTTAGATTTTTCAAAAAGTTTGTAAATGTTTATATTCCCACATGGGAAATATAAAAACAAGTTCAAATAATAATAATAAATAATAATAAAAAATATTAAAAAAAAAAACTAATAAAAAATAAAATAATTAAAATAACTAAAAAAAAAAATAATAATAAAAAACTTCAAAGTTTGTAAATGTTTACATTCCCATGTGGGAATATAAACATTTACAGATTGTAAATTTAAGTTTGTAAATGTTTAATTCCCACATGGGAACATAATCTTTTACAAACTTTTAGAAAAGCTAAAGTGAAACTGATTAAAGTAAAACAATTTGTTCTGAAAACGCACATGTAAGTAAAACAATTTTAATTTTCATATTTCTCTGTTAAAATACATGTATCATAAATTGTTCAAAAATTGATATGGTAGCTAAACAAATCACAAGTCCAAACTCAAAGATCCAGAGGCAGAAAGAAATGTCAAAATCACAAATCGTAAGTCCAATGTCACAAATCCCAATACACATAAACAGTCAGAAGCCAACACACAAGCCGACAGACAAGGTAGAAAATAAACAACTTGCCAATTCAAGGACACCAACTGCTTCTATCAATGGAACAATTTTTCATTGGTCGACAGGTGGGAGAGGACACACAACATTAGCATATCCAAGATGCATTTATGGCAACACCTGCGACTGACTTGCTATTTGGGTTATTTTGTCTTCAGCATATCGTACACAACCCATATGCCCTTTTCCTAGGTAAGGGAATTTCTCTTTCGGCACACTCCCCACTGATCTCATGATCACACTGTTGACAACTAGGGGTGGATCTCTTAAACATTGTGCTTCTTCTTAAAGGAACAACTACCCTCTCCTCACCTGATGAATCACCTTCCAAAGGGACATCAGACGTATTTCCACTAGGCTGAGCGTAGTTTTCTTCAGAGGACATACTCAAGGCATATTTTTGACAGTCCCTCATTGTTAGAGGACTCACTGTTGACATCACAGGTACCATATTGGTTCTTGAAAATGACTAACACAGTTAAAATTACTTGAACAAACAACATGAACTTCAGAGAGATTATCTACAATTTTGATCCCAAAATACACCTTATTTAAAAAATATAAAAAAATTAAACAGGCATATTTTGTGGGCTCTTTTTAATCTAACTTGTTTGGATAAATACTTGCTGGCCAAATCTACCTTTATTCAAATACTTACCTGTATATTCTTTTCAAGTGGTAGAGTATATCCGTCATGCAATATTGAGTAGATATAGGTCAGGTCCATACACAAATAAGGCTGATCCTTCAAATGATTACTGCACACTGAATAAAAGAAAAATACAAATTAATCTTCTGAATTAAAGTTACTCACATACAATGAAGGGCAGAAAATTTGTCAGAAAAGTCTGGTCAGTTTTGGAAAAGGTGTTCAGGTCCAAAATCTCAGTAACCTCTTTGTATATCACAGCTTCATCCTTAGAAAAACCAATTTTAACCACTTGATTTCTGAAATAAGATATTTTAGTCATTTATATTGATTGTTGTCCTCATCTTGGCATCTATGGAATTTCAAACTGAGCTCTTGTAAGTGCTCTGAAAGCAGAGGAAATGTTTGTTGCAGATTAATTCCACAACACAGAGAACAAATCACTAAGTTCAGACTCGAATATCGGGGGCAGAAAGAAATGCCGAAAACTCAATTCGCAGGTACTATCTCACAAATCTCAATGCATGTAACCAGACAGAAAAATAACTCACTCTCTGACAAACACGGTAGCCAAAATACATCAATTTTCCTCCCAATTCAAGAACACCAACTGCTTTTATCAGCCGAGCATTTTTTTTCATTCGTCGACAACTGGGAGAGGACACCAAATTTTTGCATATCAAAATACTTTTATAGAGACTCCTGCGACAGACTTGTTTTTAATCTAAATATTCTGTCTTCAGCATGTCATGTGGAATACAAGCCCTTTTTTTTTGGTGAATAAATTTTCTTTTCTGCTGTATGATACATGCAACACGATGTTACTTGGTTTGATGAGATAAGTTACCGTTTTCTTCACTATAGCTCTTAATTTCGTCCATTGGGGTAGATTGTTTTAGTCCCCACATGCCATGCCTCTTCCAGATGTCACAGTAGCCAGGTATTGAACTCACAACTCTTTGGGTCAAGTCAGTGGATCCAGCCAACACTTATCCACAGGGCCATGTATCCTTGAGAAAATCATTGTATAAATTTTTGGGACTTATAAAGTTAATATCTTAATAACATCATTGCCAGAGCTCATATTGCAATATTGTTGTTATTATTGCTTTTCTCATACTTAGCTTTCACCTTTACAATGCTTTATGGAAAATATATTATAAAGAAACTAAAATAAGACTGTTAAGAGTGAGATAAAATTTCATAAGAAAGGTACCTATAAATTAATTAGATACCTTTCTTATGAAATTTTATCAGAAGTGTACATAAAATACTATAATTTTATGTACATTTATTACATTTTACTATTATTTGTATTTCAATTCATTTTATTATTAATATTGATATTTCATTTATGGAAAAATGTCATAACTGAGATTAATATAAAAAGAAGATCATATAAATTTCATAAGATGATACTAATACTTGTAGGTACTCTTCTCAGTTGAAGTTGAAAACTCAAATTAACTTCTCCATACGTGTTTCGCAAAAGTAAAGGCCTTAACAGCGGAGAACAATGCTTAACTCAAATAATGCAACTTAATTGTATTCTGGTTGGTCTTCCGTACTTTATAATTACAGCCCAATTATAAACACAAAATTACATTTCTTAATTACTGCGGATCTTCTGATTAGTCAAAACAATACAATTTACAACACGCTAAAACAAGATCTATCTCATAAGGACATTTACGAAACTGGATGCGGCTTTTAACTAATTTTATATTTAAACAACTTAAATGTAAAAATCTATTATAATTAAAGAAATAACAAATAATTGTATTAAAAATTCATTTTTCATCGAAAAAAGTTTTTGCTTTCAGAAAATCTTGTCCATATTCATAAAAACAACTAAAAGTAAATAAAAGCATTTGAAATTAAATAATATCTTTGTTTTATTGAGTTTTGTATGTTACAATTCAGAGCTGATTTTCAGGGGGGGTCCAATTAAAAAAAAAAAACATGATTTGCATTCCTCAAAGCTTTTAACTATTGTAATCACTGAACCTGACGCAATTGAATTTCTAGCGTTTTCATAAAATTAGTTAGGGGGAGGGGCAATAAATTTAAAAAAAATATTTCTGCCATGACTTTAATGAAAAAAAAACATATTTATAATAATTTCCATCATTTGTGAATAGTTTCTGAAAGTTTCATTAACATCCGACAATTATTTTTATTTTTGCAAGATTTTCTAAATTAATGTCTGTCATACAAAAAAAAAAAAAAAAAAAAAAAACGTGCTGAAAATTTGTTATTTTACTTGCTCTCATGGAGGTACCTATGTAAATAGACCTTAAAACATCTTCCACATTTATTTTGACTAGCATCCTCATTTTTATTGTTTGTATCCCATCATTTTAGCAAATCAATTTGTTGGCCTCCCACAGAGAACACAGAGTTGGGGTTTTCTCTATTTTACCAGTGACTCTTGATTTGAACACCAAAGATTCTTGCAGACTAAAACAATCCAGAAGTCAGTCTGAAAAGTTCCCAAAATTTGCTTTACATAATGCAGCACATGGCAGGGTTGCCAATTTTCACTCAAATGTACATGAAATCTGCAAATGTCATTTTCCAGATATGGAAGGCCCTTGAAATAACATTTTTTTTATTGTTACAACGGCTTTTCTTTTCCACCAATGTAATTTTTCAGCTGTAGAAGACCCTTGTAATTTTGTTTTTATTACAGTTGCTTTTGCCAATGTAATTTTTCAGCTACGGAAGGTCTTTGTATTTTTTTTATTATTACAGTCATTTTTTTACAGATTAACTACCAAACATAAGTATTCACATTTCTAAATTCTATCTTTCCATCTGAGCATTTTTTTCTCCTGGCCTAGAAATGCAGTTTCCTCACTAAATACAGTTGGTTTCTTCTTATTTTGCTTCATTTCAAAGTGATTGATCGACTTCTGTTTCTTCTTACATGTTCTACCATGCCCGACTTCATGGCTTCACTTTAATTATGGTTTTTTTTATGTTTTCTAATTCTAATTTCTTTTTTAAAGGTTGGTTAATTTCTCATGCTGTTGCATGTATAAATTTGTGCAAACAATAAAAAAAACTAAAAAAAAAAAAAACATACCATTTTTAGCTGCTTCCAGGAAATTTCCAACAGTAACATTGCCACCAGCTGGATCTGAAAATAGAATATTAATATCAGCAAACTAATAAGCCTCAATAAAACATCCTGCTGTCATCCCATGACTCCCTCTGGAAGCTGAATCCAACAATAATTTTCTGGCACTCCTCGAACTTCTATTCCCGAGGAAAGGGGGTCAGAAGGCAGTCGACAAGCCAATACTCCAGTATGGTAGGGCATCAAATCCAGAATGCTGTCCACTGGAGGAGGCACATTTTCTTGTATCAAAATTAGCCCATATCACATTCACAGATGGAGGGAGTTGAACATTTGGGCAGGGGGGGGGGGCATTTCTAACAGGCCTTGCCAGAAGTCGCATGACTGAGGGACATAATATTGAATAGCTACAGCTGTAATCTACACATGTGACTGGCTGCTACTTATTAATCAAAATGAATGCGTAGATGAGAGCACAAAATATAAATATGCACAATCAGCAAAGTTAAGCAAAGCTGATCCTGGTGATTACCTACATGGGTGACCACTTAGATGTGCAGGTGGTGTAATGGATAATGGCTCAAAATTGGGTTTTGTTATATTCACTTGCATGCAAATACCCTTGGGATAGGTATGAATTTACCTCTTCTCCCCCCAGCTATGGGTTAATTAGTAAGAATTGTATCACTAAACCTTTATTATTTCAAAAAAGAAAAAAAAATTCTAACAATCTAAAAATATTTTCTGGCTTTGCATAACTTGCAAAGGGTTGATAAGCCATAAAAAACAGATAAATCAAATCAATCAATCTAATGAAGGCAAGCACTTAAATCTGTCACACATTAAAATGATAGTACATTTGAATTGGATGTTATTTCCTACTGAGTGTATGTTTAATGATGTCCTGATTTTAACCAGTGATGTCATGTGGTTGAAGACGTCACATCTGTCAACCCTTGTGAGTGTTGAATGGACAAGAAATTTTCTGTTGAGCCTGAGTTTCTTTGATGTTTTGTGTAATCTTGTTGAAATTATGTGTAATATTCAGAATTCTTTTGATTCCTGTTGGCCATTTTTCAAATATTAGTATCACTAAGTTATTATGATCTCAAAAAAAAAAAAAAAAAAAAAAAAAAAATTTTACAATCTGAAAATATCTGCAAAGAGTTGATAAACAATAGAAAATGAATCAATCCATTGATGAAATACTGATTAGCTACAGAGGCATGTCTTTTTAGATTTATTTACATTCTCTGGAATAGAAGTGTATAGAAACTACAGTAGCCATAAAGTGAGGGATAAGTTTATATATTGGATGTAATGTATAACTGATCCCCCACTTTATTTCCACACTATAATTTCTTGTTTGTTGAGAAGCCGTAGAAAACGAATCAATCAATCAATGAAGTACTGATTAGCTACACAGACATGTCAAAGAGAGGGATCAGTTGATATATTGATTGAAATATAGAATTGAACACCCACTTTTTATCCACACTATAATTTCTGGTTTGTTTATCAAATTCTGATTAGATAACAATTCTCCTCCACACCAGCTGGCTGTGAGTTTAGTTTAAGGAAACAAAAAAAAAAAAAAAAAAAAATAAATTCTTACAATCTAAAAATATTTTCTGGCTTTAAATAACCTGCAAAAGGGGTTGAGAAACTGTAGAAAATAGACCAATCCATCCATCAAATGTAAGCAAAAATACATTTTTTTTCTTTTAAACTGTTTTCAGAGTTACAAGTAACACTAAAAAGAATTTTAAATAGCTTTGTTTTTTTTAATCATTTCACCCCAAGCAAGGCAATAAAGCCATGAGGATGCTAGAGATTACTGAGTGTTAGAGAATATGAGAATACCTACTATTAAGGAGAGAAGACAATAAAAGAACAAGAATTAAGACAGAATATTGTGGTAAGAAATCAAAATAAAAAAAAGAGCCAAGCCAAGCCAAAAAAAAAAGCGCGCTTGCTTTATACAGCCAAGGGCTGACCATAATTTGCATGAAAATGATGAGACAACGAGATTTCACATTAACTGTCCGAGACCGCCTGGCATAAAACATGGGCACCGCCATTTTGGTTCTTTTTACCACTGAGCAGCTGGATTTTGCATGACGCACAGATTCGTGGGTGTTTCCAAGGTAAGCCGTTTTCACAATTTTCCCCACACTCCCCCCTGATCTCATGATCACAAACTGAGCAGGGAGGTGGCGATCGTCGCCATCAAGTGCCCCTCCAAAGGGGGACAACACAAGCTTCATCCTCATGCGTGCTCTCGTCTGTGGTTTGAGTGTCAGTAAACACTGTGTTCGCCAGGAGGCTGCTGATATCAGAATCACTGCCCTGCAGGTCTAACTCCAAGCAGATCGAACGCTCACTACTCTCAGACTCGGAATCGATTTCATTGCTCAGTAATGGTAGCGGTTGCATCACCGGTCGAAAGTCTTTAATGTGACGAGGCACCCCATCAACTCTCACAGATTGCAGGCTAATCACCTCCGTAACACGTCCAGTGCTGTATTTTGTCATACACTTGCCGCGTGGGTTTTTGACCCAAATAACATCTCCTTTTTTCAATCTCCCTCCAGTCACTTCTAGTTCAGGCAGCGGGTTGGCTTCAATGCCTTTCACTCGGACATGATACTTGTGCAGTGCATCAGCCGGTGATGTGGACAGTGAAACGTTATCTTTCGGGGCAACATCGTACCACCTCCGATACTGAACAGCCCTTCCTGGCTGCGATGGTCTTGATGGTTCTGTGGTTTCACTCTACGATGCCATTTCCACTCGTCGAGTAAGCACATCGAAACCACAGATGCACGTCCCAATTGTCCACAAATTTTTTAAAGTCTTTACTGGTGAATGCAGTATCATTGTTGGTCAGTATTTCTATAGGTGGGCTTCGCTCCAGGAAAACATTCTCCAACAGTAGAGGGACCGCAATCAATAAGTGTTAGAAAATTCTCTCCATTGTAGTGAGTTATGTCCATGGCTAGTCTGCTCCAGTTGCTCTTCACGCTCAGTTCTCCTCTTTCCCAGTGAACAAGTGCTGGATCGATTGACTGACAGGTTGTGCAGGCCTTCACAATGGATTTAACTCTTTCTCTGGACACTTGCAGGTCGACTAATCTGGCGAAGTAAAGTGTTGGTTTCAAGCCCTGATGTCCGCTTTGACGATGGGTATTGGCCACCTGGTCCTCATCCAGTCATCTCTCTACCATTGCGCATCTCTCGAGCGCCAGTTCTCCTTTCTTGAGCAGATCCAGCCACCCATGCGGTACTCTGGTGAGGCGATCCTCACAGTTCTGACATCTATGGCCAATCCATATTCCCCTACCAGCGATCACAATGCCCAGACGTCACCTAACCAGCATCTCACTAACCGCCCTTGTGTTCACCCATACCTTCCTGGTCAAGGTGTCAGAAATCCACACGTGCACACACACCGAATCAGTAACCAAGTGCAATGTTGTTGCCTCCCACTGGAGGGCTAGATTCACTCCTTTAAGCGCCGCATCGAGTTCAGCTAAATTAATATACCTGGCATCATTAGTCGGACGCAGCCAACACGCATCTTCGATGACATTTCCGTTCGCTTCCAATGCCACTCCTGTCGCTACAGAACTCGCATCCACCCAGACTGTGATCTCATCACCACCCATGCACCAGTCTCCTCCAATGGGATCCAGTTCCCGTACTCTACTTAGCATCTCCACTAGTATGCAACAGAGAGAGGGATCTTTGATTTTATCATCCCATCCATTGGTTGCTGCGGTTGCCAGGCGCTTGATGAATGCAACTGCCACCCTGAGCCATCCAAACACGGGGAAATGTCCAACAAGTTTCCCACACAACGAAAATACACGCCGACAGGTCAACACATCAGGGACTTCCGGAATCTGACTTCCTCGTTTCCATCGGAGGGTGCCATTCTCTTCCCAGACTAGCAAGCCAAGAACTCTTGCTCCATCTCTCAGTCACACCGGATCCTTGCACACCAAACCCTAATCCGAAAAATGTTGTCGTACACGCAATGCAGAGACCAGACTTTCATTGATGAAAATGTCATCAACGTATGCTGATGTGGCACTTTTAATTGTGTGGTCTTGCGATGCGATGGCATCTATAACGGATTTCATAATGAGTGGCACTGCAATTAGGCCAAATCCTAACCGCGTAAGACAGAAGCGTTGGCCCTTGAAAATAACAGTCTGAAATGGCCACAGCGCTTCATTGATGTGAATCTGAAGATATCGTTTCACAGATCCAGAAGCAACACAGTGACTCCCTGCCGCTGCCATGCTCTCAGCTTCTGTGCGCACACTTTTGCATCGGCAGTGAAAGCATCCACAAAGTTGTTCAATTCGCAGTAATTGAGTACCGGGCGTACCTTCTGTTTCTGCTCCTGCACGACTGCCATCAAGGGAATCGAACCCTTTGGGGGTCTGAGTCTTTCCTGGGGGTACGGAATCAATCAGCTGTTCGCAATCCACTGTTGAAGTTCTTTCTCGTATTTTCCTCTGATGCCGTCGGTCACTCTGTACTCTGTGACCCTGTTGTGAAGCTGAACTGGTGGGTCTTTTTGGGCCCATTTCCACCGGGCGGTCCACACCCTCTCGTCAGAATTGAAGGAGACATCGAAATCTGGCTCACTAATGCAAAGGGCTGCACACACTTTCCTTCCTTTACCCAGTTCCACATCTTCGGCTGGCGTGATTATCGTGCCTCCTAATGCTCAGATCGCACCGATCCCAAGCAGCAGGTCATAACTGAGGGGCCTCTAACAAGCCACCAAAACGTTGACCTTGGCATGATCCCCTCCACAACAGGCCCGGGACAATCTGTCAATCGCCCGAATCTCGATTTGTTGACTGTTCCATGTCACGCATCAATCTGCGCTGAAGATCGATCAGGAACATCCAGTGTCAACGAGCGCCGAGCACCATTTACCCTCAACCCTCAGGTTGACAACAGGCAATGCTGCATTTACTGACCGAGAGGGGGCAAGGGTTGCGACAGCTTGTACGCTTGCTTTATACAGCTGAGGACTGACCATAATTTGCATGCAAATGAGACAACGAGATTTTGCGTTAACTGTCCGAGACGGCCTGGCATAAAACATGGACGCCACCATTTTGGTTCTTTTTACCACTGAGCAGCTGGATTTTGCACAATGCACAGATTCGTGGACATTTCCAAGGTAAGCCGTTTTCACAATTTTCCCCACATAATTGAGATTGCAGTTAAATTTTTATAAATCAAAGTTAACTGGCAAGCAAGAAGCTGGAAGAGAGATCGAAGAAACTGTTAGCATAGAACTTACGGTTCCATCTAGAAATTTCAACCATAAAATGATGAGACCTTGCCACCAATCTAGCACTGAACTTAAATTCATAAAGTCTACATACCATAGAGAAAATTTTATCAGAACAATTTTAACATGAAAGTATTTAAAAGAAATGTCACAGGGAAGCTACATTACAATGGTGGGAAAGTGACTGAAGCTGAGATGCCAGGTCAGAACCAAAAACATTGCAGAACATTCAAGAAACGCTTCTCGTCATATTAGAGATCCTTACTCTAAAGCCAACAGTGAATGTGAAACAAAGAAAACTTACCAATCAATCGTGAATCCACACCACGGTCATAAAAATAAGAAAATGCCATTATGCGATGATCTTTCAATTCTGGAACTAACTGAACATTTTTTTTGATGAGCCCTTGTGCAATTGAATAACATGGTTCAAATCCATTATGGTCTGGACGAGCACTGATCAAGTAGAAAATAAAATAGAAAAAGGAATAAGAAAATCTAATGATACAATCATTTCTCTTATTCTTTTATTGTAAACAGTACAAAAAACATTTTTTTTAACCAACAATATAATTAGCATTATTTACATTATTTGGACTGTTGTCCTCATTTTTGTCACCATATTTGCAATGACACAGTAGATAAAGGTGTTGGTTAGATCCAGTGACAGGACCCAAAGAGTGTGGGTTCAATACCCAGTTAAGGCAGTGGAAAACTTTCAGAGGGAAATTAACAGGAGATAACTGATAACTGACATCCATTAAACATGGCACATGGAACTAGAACATGTCTACCCCAGTGAGCAAAATAAAGGGTTAAGTTTGACATTCCAACCACCCGAAAAAGGCCGAAGCATACAACGGCCGAAACATTGTAATAAATATGGGGACAAAGATGAGGACAATAGTCCGAATAATTTAAATAGTGTACATAATACCTCATCTCAGAAATATAGACAGTTACCAAAATAATTAGCCACTACCTAACAAAAGATTTGAACCCAGTCATGTTTTGTCTTAGCTAAGCAACATCTCTTAACTAAAACATTACAGACAAACCAAGTTTTTATATTTGACATACAGATTACAAGGAGTTAACAGTGTATATATACACACACACACACACACACAAGTTGTAGCCTCTGTTTGTTATTGAATTCCTTCTAGAGTTTTTGACAGACCCCCATAACCATATATATTCTGAAACTACCTTACCCAGAGTACTCGGATAAGTATATATCATTTTGATCAAAAGGGGTCCCAGTGGGGGGGGGGGGGGGTTATGGGGCAGAAATACTCCTATCCAAAATATAGAAGAAGAAACCCAGAAGATGGAGGTCACATCAGCAAAATCATTGAGTAATAGTAAAATGCATGATTTTCTTCACAAATTATGATAATGCTTTAAAATCAATCATCATTTTCTTACAAAAAATGTGTGACATGCAACAAGGTGCAGGTAATTCATCTAAAATAAATATATATATATATATATATATATATATGTGTGTGTGTGGTGGGCTCTCCTATTATGAACAATAAATGAGGGTCAGCAATGGATGGTGCCCCTTGTTTCACACTTATGCATGCTAGCAGGGGCCATTGTGGAGAAAATCAGGTAAGGGAAAGACATATTTCATTTGTGCTTCAGAGCTTGATGAAGCTGATCACAGTGCTTCAGTCTACGGTCTTCAAAAACCTTTAACTTAATGAAACATGTTTTACTCCATTCTTTTCTGTTTGATGCTTGGGCTTCCCAGGTTTCCAGAACTAAGTTTAGACGTTTCAAGTTGTCTTTCAATTTGTCTTTGTAGCTTAAGAGTGGACGTCCAACTGAACACTTGGAGTTTGGTAGTTGTCCATACAGCACCTTTTTTGGAAGCCTATGCTCATCAATTATCACAACATGACCAGTCAACCTAAGTTGGATATTTGGTTTCAATGCCTGTGATGTTGTTACATTTCTTCAGTATTGCACTATTCTTGACCCTGTCATCCCATTTTATACCACATGTGGCACTAAGACCTCGACATGTGAAAGGTGTCAAGTTGATTTATGTACATGCTGTACAGGGTCCAAATTTCAACACCATAGAGATGGGTTGAGAGAATGACAGATCTGTATATGTCAATTTTTACTCTGAGACACGTCTTTGGTGTCCCATAACCTAGGTTTAAGATTACTAAATCCGGTGCTGGCTTTGGTTATTCTGGATTGGATCTCTCCGATCAGAAGAAACTGTTAATCCAAGATATGTGAATGTCTCAACAGTTTTTAGTGCCGTACCATTAATGAATACGGAAAGATTTCTGAGAGATGGATTGGCTGGTACATTAGCTCAGTCTTCTTTATGTTGATAGTGAGCCCAAATGCTTTCGCTGTTTCAGAGAATTTATCAAGGATAGTTTGAATGTCTTCTAACAGAGTGGCATCATCTGCAAAGAGAAGATAGCGTACCAGCTGCAGACCAAGTTTCGATTGTGCTTTAAGACGTTGCTGATTTTATAGACCTCCACTTGTTCTGAATTCAGCATTGACTCCTTCACTGAAGTCAGAGAATGTCTTTTGAATCATATCAGAAAAGAAAAGTGCAAAAAGAAGAGGAGCACGAATGCATCCTTGCTTTTTATAGTTGGAGACGAAAAAGGTGTCCGATTGCTCACTTCCCGACCTTACAAAAGCTTTCATTTCTTCGTTAAAGGACATAATACCATGGAACACTTAATTTTGACAAAACTTTCCAAAGAGCAGTTCAAGATACAGTATTGAAAGCCTTTGTGAAGTCTACAAAAACAACAAATAAATCCTTGTTTTGTTCTTGTGCCTTTTTCATGAGCTTGCCAAAGACAAAAGGATCATATTCACTGGGTCCCTGGTAATGCTGATTCTGAAACAATTTCATTATGCCTATTCAGGATGATACAAGCAAGAATTTTGCCAGCAACCAAAAGAAGAGATATTCCTTTACGGTTGTCGCATTCACACCTGTTCCCTTTACGCTTATACAAATGGACAATTGAAGCACACTTATATTGCTGTGGCACTTCTCCCTTCCCCCCCCCACACACAAGGTTGGAAAATTCACAAATCTTTCATATCAAAAGATTTGTAAATTTCAGCTGGAATTCCATCTTCGCCAGGGCTTTCCCATTCACAAGCTGTTAGATGGCCTTTTTGAGCTCGAACGTTGAAGGGTTAGCAGAAAGGCTCTGTACAACAAGTCTCTGAGGAAGATTGTTTATTACTTCAGCATCAGACGCATCCTGATTTAGGACCATGTAGAAGTGTTCTGCCCAGCATTTGATAATGTGGCTTTTGTCTGTCAGAAGAGTGTTATCTAAAGAAAAGATTGGTGATAGACTGCTAGAAATGGGACACCCTTCAGGTTTTGGTAGAATGATTTGAAGTCACATCTGTCAGAAACCTCCTGCAAAGCTTTTAGCCTTTTGCTATCCACTAGCCCTCCTTCAGCTCCCTATATATATATATATATATATATATATATATATATATATATATATATATATATATATATATATATATAAAGAAAGAAAGAAGTAAGATATATAATCCGGTGTTCTTATAGATATTTTTATTTTTACAAAACAGTGCTCAATGTAAATTTACAGAGCATTAATATTATAAATTGATTTATTTAAAATATGTTTTTTTTTGCTACACAGTTCTAACCATGTTTCAAAAATGGAAGCTAAAAGCTACAAATTTAATTTTGTAATTAAATTAAAGACATTAGTTTCATTTCATCCTCAAGCAAATTTGAAAATTATGATACTCCAATGTAGACATCAAATTTAAATTATGTAATATTAAGTATTCAGCAACTGAAGATTGTGTTGTACATGAAACTCATAAATCATGCTATATATAAGAAATGGACTAAATCTGACATATTGTTATTTTTAATTTTTGTTTAAACATTATTTTTTATGGATACTCACATCCAAGTAGAAGCCTTGTTTTTTAATTTATAAGTATTTTTTATCCAACGACATCTATCAGCCTGAAAATCTGAGAAATCTTGTCAGAAAAATATGCCAGAAGACTCATATTTTTCAGACAAGTTTTCTCGAAAATTCAGACCAGTAGATGTCATTAGATAAAAAATATGAGTAGCCATCAAAAATAACTTTTAAACAAAATAAATTGAAATAACATATATGACAAAAATAACTGAATACTTTTCAGATAAATAAAAGATTTTTCCATTATCATGAACAAAAGAAAACTCTTAAAAATTAACGATGAAAATACTTCAGCTTGGAATTTCAAAAACTCGAATGATTTCAAAGATAAAAGAAAAATATCATTAAAGTATATTCAACATATGAGGCCAGGTAAAAAACTACTCTAATGCCACAAAAAAACAAAAAAAAAAAAAAATAAAACTTGAAATAGGAAAACTAAAAAATGCCAAACCTGACAATATATTTTATTCCTTCTTTTGATAACGTATCCGTGATGCCAGGGTTGAAACAAGGTGTGGTCAACTTGGGGGGATCACCTGAAAGAAGAAAAATCACGATTTCATTTATTCAGCTTTGTAAATATTTATACTTTTATATTCATGTTACATTGAATATTGCTAACACATCTGGTTAAGTGCTCCTGCTATATATTTAGAGATTCTTGATAAAATCCAAAGAAGAATCAAGCCTGATCTTTGACAGTTCTTCACCAATATTCCTTTTCACAAGTATAACCAGGACAGAGAGGAGTCAAGCCTGATCTTTGACAGTTCTTCACCAATATTCCTTTTCACAAGTATAACCAGGACAGAGAGTAGTCAATCCTGATCTTTGACAGTTCTTCACCAATATTCCTCTGGTTACTGAAACACAATGTGGGGATGCAGGATTGGTGCAGAGCAGGCTCACTAGACATGGACCAAAATAAAGAATGGCATTCAATAAAGCATGCATACAAAAGGATCTTCAAATAATACAAGGCAAGCAAATAATATATGCAAGGCAAATTATCAGTAATAAGGCAAAGAATTCACAAATTAAGAATTTGGGGTCGTCACACATGAGTGAATTCAGATAAATGAATGCAGCGTTCTGACTTCAAGACAAGACAGACCGGGACTGAGTAATATAAATCCAAGAAATGGCCTCTTTTATTGAAGAAATCCCAGCATGCATCTGTGTGCTTCTGCTTATAAATTGGGGAGGGGAAAGTGTTTTGAAGTCATTCCCCATGAGGATTAGAACCAAAACAAATAATTAATAATAGTTAAAAAAAAAACATCAAGTACCGATAAAAAAAAAACATCAAGTACCAATTAAAAAAACAAAAAAACATCAAGTACCGATTAAAAAAACAAAAAACCCAAGACAACTATATATCATAAAAAATTAAAAACTTCTCTTATTGTCAAATATAATATAAACACTCAAAAAAACAGTCTTAATGAAGGCTTAAAATTGTGACAACAAATTTCCATGCCTATAAGGAGAATGTATCTTCAATAATACTAATCATAAAACAAGTAACTGATTGATTTTTTAGGGCTTATCAACTTTTTGAAGGTTTATTCCAAGTTGAAAATATTTTCAGATTTTAAGAAGGTATTTTGAGATAATAATGATTTTTACTGATTACAACTTTGACTAATTAACCCATAGCTGGAGAGAGAAATGGTGGATTCATACTTTTCCGAGTGTATTTGCACATAAGTGAATATAATGAACTTGAATGGAATTCAAACTTGACTCTCTGATTTCCAATTCTAAGCTGTTATCCATAACACAAGCCACATATCTACACTTAAAGCACCTGGTATTCTCTAGCAGTCACCCATCTAGGAACTGGTCAGGTTCAACATTGCTTAACTTTGGTGATTGGATAAGAACCAGTCTTTCAACATGATATGGCCATAAAAAACATTCTATACATTAATCATACAACAACTGTATAACATTGACTAACATGTCATGGATCTGATATCAAATCCATAAAAACTGATAATATTATTAAGCAATAAGAAATTTTTGATCACATTTGAGATATACTTGTAAGATAATAAAACTGGTATTATCTGCTAAAATGATCACAAATTTTAGAAGCAATAATCATAAATACAAACAATGTATAATAAACAAAATACGATTTAACATAGGAAGCATAATAAAAATCAAACTATCAAGTGACATGATAAAAAAATTCAAAATATGTTGCTAAAATAATGAAAATACAGAGAAAGCAAACATCTACACCTCTTGAAAAGAACTTTGTTCTTTAATCGGTAAAGTGTCTGAAAATACTTAAAATATAAATAAAAAATATTTAAAGAAATAATATCAAAAAATACATGTATAATCTTGAAACATCAATAAAAACATCTCAAGAAAATAATGAAATAAACTACTCTAAAAGATATTTCCATGGTTTTCAGTCAAATACACATGCACACAATATAAAGACAAAAGAAAACCTTTTCTTTACCAACATGATTTGTTCCCTGAAAGACTATCAAGGTAAATGTCCTTCAGGTGATGAAACGCAGTTTTCCTTTTGTCTTTATTTATGTTGTCTTCACAGATATATTTTATTTATATATACAAGTGAAGTCAATGCTGAGTGGTGGCTGTCTCTTTTAGGCCTGAGGATTGCACCCATGCATGAAAGACTGTCACCGCTCAGTGCTGACTTCAATGTCCACTTTTATATTGACAAATGCTCTATCCCAAATACTGAACTCTTTTACCCATAAATATACCACACTGTAAAAAAACTATATATATATATATATATATATATATATATATATATATATTTCTGTAGTTGATTGCTACTAACAAGCAAAAAAATTTTTTTTCTCCTGATGATGGCCATGCTGGCCAAAACTAGTCGAGGAATCTAATTGAAATAATGAAAACTGTTGTGAAGTTGAAGTTAGCACTAATCAGCCACTAAGCTCGTACTTCTACCTCGTTATTCCCAGTGACCACTTATATGAGTGTTCACTTATGCTTATGCAAATTATGCATACTAATTTGTTAGCATCACTACATCTTCCTGAACCTTAAGGGTTTTATTCCTCTCATAGATCTTGTACTCCTTCTCCTGCTATTTTCATCACTTTGCTCTATTTCTCTCTCTCTCGTATTTCTTTCCCTGGGAGACCTAGATCTGTCCCGGGCTAGGCTGTAGTCATGTGTGTTTTCTTGCATAATCTGGTCTTCATCCGAACTTTCAGACTCCTTCTGGCCCTCTTCATCCGGCATTGTTTCCTCTTCTGACGTTTCCTTCTGTAATGGTTGTTCTACCAACTCGTTATCAGATGGAATTGAAGACATTTCTTCGTCGTTTTGTTCTTCCTCTTCACCCTGGGTCCTTATTTGGTCTGCATGGGCTAACACACTATCACCATTTTCTCTATTTATTATGGCTGTATTGTGGCCTTTTTGCATTATAAATTCGGCTCCTTCCGGATCTGCATCTTTGCTCTTTTTGTACCACATCTTTTCATTTGTAGAGTATGACATCATTAGCAGAGCTCTAATCTGTCTTCCCATTAGCTGATGGGCTTTCGAGTCTTCCCGTGTGTGGTATGGTCCGATAACTTAAACGCATCCTCGGTAGAAAAACTTCTTTTTCTTTTTGCTGAAAGCATGCTTTTAGCCCCTTTTTTTATGGTCTGTACCATTCTTTCTGCTAATCCGTTTGATTGAGGGTGATATGGAGGTGTCTTATATGGTTTACACCCTATTTTTTCTAACCATACGTTAAGTTCTTCCTCACAAAACTCTGGTGCATTATCAGATACCAAGGTTTTTGGTACACCATTTCTAGAAAATATGACTCTTAGAATCTGCTTTATAGTAAAACCTTTCTTGTTTGTAACCCGGATTATTTCAGGCCAACCTGAAAAGGAGTCTACTAGTATTAATAAGAGTCCCACTCCATTAATGTATGCATGATCCATATGCACACGACTCCATGGCTCCACTTCTTTGGGCCACGAATGTAACTTGGTTTGTGTAAAGTTTCTTAATTCTTTACATTTTTTACACTTCTTTACATATTCCTCGACATCTCTTGAATAACCCGGCCACCAAGCTTCTAATTTTATCCTTTTTTATGTGGCCGCTACTCCACAGTGTATATCATTATGTACACTTTCTATTATCGGTTTTCTTTGTGTTTCTGGGGGAACTACCAGTGCCCCATTGCAAATCACTCCATGTTCTATTGTTAATTTGTGTCTTATTTCTTGATAGGGTCTTTCCGCCCCTAGAACAATTTCCCCACGAGTTTTTTCCTTATTCTTGATACTATCCTACTTAGCACCGGATCATGTCTCGTTTCCGCAGCCATTCTGTCTAAAAACAAAACATCAGTCTCTATCAAGTGTAGGAATGAATCTTCAAATTCTTCCTCTGTTTTGTCTTTTGACTCCTTGTAGAACCTGAATCTTGATAGTGCGTCCACATGTGGAATTGAATTTCCTTTGACATACTCTATATCAAAGTCAAATGCCATCAATCTTATCGCCCATCGTAGAATCCTTGATGTCGTGACTTTGGGTAATTCTTTCCTTGGGTTAAATATAAACTCTAATGGTCTATGATAACTTCTTAATAGAAATTTTTTCCCAATTAAAAATTGCCGGGCTCTGGTAGTTGTCCATACGATAGCCAATGCTTCTTTCTCTATGTTCGAGTAATTAAATTCAGTGTTCGTTAATCTTCTCGACAAATACATTATCTGATGTCCTTCTTGTGATAATATTCCAGATATTGAATGTTCACTTGCATCTGTAGTGAGTGTTATATCCTTTTTTTGATCAAAAATTTTCACTACAGGTTTCTTTGACATAATTTCTTTTAATCTTTCAAAAGCTTTTTGCTGTTCGTCTGACCACATAAATTCCACATTCTTTTTTCTTGCAAACGGTTCCATCAAGTCCATGTATATGGTAAGTATCGCCTGTAAAAATTTACCAATCCCCAAAAAGACTCCAATTCTTTTTTATTTGTAGGTGTAGCTACTTTTAGTATTTTTTCTATCAAGGCTTGGTCTGGTGATATACCTTCTTTTGAAATGGAATAACCTAAAAAAGATATTTTGTTAGAATTGCTTATGCATTTTTTTTCATTTATTTGTCATTCCAGCATTTCTTAATCTATTCAAGACTAAGTCAGTTTTTTCTTTTAATTCCTTTTCATTAGTAGCTCCTATGCATATGTCGTCTTGGTAACAAATCATATTTTGTACATTTCCTAAAACCTGTTCAATGGCCCTTTGAAATATGGCGTTTATGCGGTTTTTATTCCATATGGCATCCTTTTCCATCTTAGTAACCCCCGTATTTATCGTGGTTACTTCTTTGAAGTTTTCGTCTATTGGTATTTGGTGGTATGCTGTTTTTAAATCTGTTTTTGAAAAAATGGACATCCCTGCCAGTGCATGTAATGCAAGTTCAACATTGGGTATGGGATATGAATCCGAGCATATCTTGTGATTTACTCCTATTTTGTAATATCCACAAATACATAAATCACCATCTGTTTTCCTCAAAACTACCATCGGTGATGCCCACTTGCTACCTCCAGGTGGAACATGTTCAAGAAGGTCTTGTTCTACTAATTTACATAGTTTTGTCACTACTAATGTCAATAAATGTACTGGTAATTTTCATGCCTCATAATAAGAGGGGGAAACATTTTCTTTTACTTTTAAACTTACTTCCCAGTTTTTTCCATTTTTATTTCATTACTTAAATTAGTAGAATTTATATTAAGCATGTCATTTCCAATAAGCCTGTGGTTTTTTTTGCAACTTGTAACAACTATAGGTATTACTTCAAATTTTTCTTTTAACTCTAATGAATCTTCAAAGTATCCTAATATTTTTATAACCGACCCATCAAATTGGCGGAGTTGTAAACTGCTTTTTCGTAAAGGTGGCTTACCAATGTGTTCTCAAAAATTTTTTGGTATCAGTGTTACTTTACTGCCAGTATCCATTTGCATATCTAAATTGCAGTTATTAATTTTGACCTTTACTATAATGTCTTTTTTCTTATGTTCAATTCTTTTTAAAGTCTTATTTTTTAATGTAAAACCTTCCCTATCGGTGTCATTTTCTTCAATTCTTTCAACATTTTTCTTTTTTAATTTACACACTGCTTTAAAATGGTTCTTTTTTTTTTAAACAATTATTACAAGTTTTCCCAAATGCTGGACACTTTTCCTTTTTCACTTCGTGTTCACATCCACAATACGAACACCTTATCTTCTTTAACATGTACGTATCAGCAAAATTTTGTTCGCTGGGTTGACTTTTATGATGGTGGTATTTCTGTATTAATTCTTGTTGCTGCATAAAGTCAATACATGTATTTAAAGACATATTTCCTATTTGTAATTGTTCCAATATTTTATATCGGTGTGACGCATTGGACATACCTTCAATTAGTCTTAATTGAATCAAGTCCTCTTCAATAGTCTGTTCGTCTTGTTCAAGTTTTTCAAATTCATAATATCTACTTGCATTTCGTAGATGGTGTAAATATTTTATAATTGGTTCGTCAATTTCCTGTTTCATTGACATGAATTTCATTCTTTCTGCCACTACCAGCCTTTTCTTGGGTCTCATATTTCTTCTTATAATCTGACTTATTTTTTCAAAAGTAAGGTCTTCCAAATTTAAGGGATATGCCATGGTGGAGACTTTCATTACCGCCTCGCATCCAGCTGTAGCCAAAAATAAATCCGTGATTTCATTTTCGCCCCCCTTTTCCTTGTTGTCTTTCAACTTTTTTGTTCTCGCAGTGGCAGAGAAACAACAAATCCATGTATCCACGAAATCTGGATCTTCCAGAGACAATTGATATCCTATTGGCGACGCCATTGTTGTGATGCAGAAGTTAGCACTAATCAGCCGCTAAGCTCGTACTACTACCTCGTTATTCCAGTGACCACTTATATGAGTGTTCACTTATGCTTATACAAATTATGCATACTAATTTGCTAGTATCACTACAAAAACAAAAGAATATTAATATACAGCCTAGTGTGTCTGAAGATTAAGTTTTTAATATTTTTTATTGTTCAAAACACAAACATACACACACACACATAAGTGGATATAAAAGTCAAGACCCAGATGTGACAGTCTGTGCCATGCTAAACAAAATCATCAGGCCATGTAAGTAGTGCTTGACTCTATTTAACTATCTATCTATGCAGATTAAGAGAATCATAGGAGAAATAAGGAGAGAGAGAAATATATATATATATATATATATATATATATATATACACACAGGTCAGTGATGCATTGTGGGTAGCCCATTGTATTATTATAACAGTTAATTTAGTAGGTGTGATTTGTTAACTATTTACTCATATATATATATATATATATATATATATATATATATATATATATATATGTGTGTGTGTGTGTGTGTAATATATTATATATATTATATTATATTATATGCACAACACTTATTAGAAAGTGCTCAATATCAGAGATAGAGCTAACATATTTGGTTGGATTGATGTGAGTTTGTGACCCTGGGTTTCATGCTTTTGCAAACTTTGTTTGACGATCGCAAAAGTAATTTATTCCAAACAAACTTTGTCTGATGATTGCAAAAGTGTGAAACGTATGGTCACAAACTCACATGATTCCAATCAAATTATATATATATATATATATATATATATATATATGCATGCAAGAATATGTATGAAAAAGAAAAAAAACTATTTTGTCATTGAAATGTTTTCAATTCAACTCATTAGACATATTTGAAAGTCTGTCAACCTCATCTACAAAAGTGAAGATGGAAATTCTATACCAGAAAATAATGTCACAAAACTCAACTTGAATGTTTAGATCATCTGAGACTAAAATGTAATTCAACTGGAGATAGTTATCTCCCTTTAAAAAAAACACAGGAAAGAGAACGTGATTTACCAGGAATGTTGTCCATCATCTGGAAACGAGCAGACATCAAGCCAAGACCCAAATAACTGCAAAGAGACAAAGCAGAAAACAAAGATGTTAACCACAAAATTGCAATATACCACACACATGCACACATCATCAGTGTGTTCAGGTGAATACTAGGTAGTGAGACAATCACACCCACAAGAGGAGCATGCATCAACAACCTAGAAGGATTTGTCTAGAGGTACAGCCATAACAGTACTCTTCATCAAGGCATTCAGAGGCCCCTTTGGAGACTACTTTACAGCCAGAACACATTAAAAAAAAAAAAAAACACAATAGACCTGATATTATACAGAATCAAAAAGCTGATTAGACAACTAGGAAGGATCAGTATAAAAATAAGTAGACATAATACGTCTGTATTATTCAATGAAATAGGTTTGAATGAAAATATTCTACCTATATATATATATATATATATATGATATCAATTTCAGTCATCACCTTGTTGCACCTCAGTTGCGTCTTAATAGTTTTATCACCTTACTTGTGGTTAAAATTGATTAAAAATGAAATATATGGTGCCATGAGGTTATCCTAAGAAAAAAAAAAAAAAGACAACCTTTCCACTTACCTGTGTGTATAAAGTTTGTAATTTGTTCCGAACAAAGTAATGTTTTTCTTGAAATTTTCTGGAGCCTGTGCTAATGTTGCCTTTAAAAAATGAAAGGAAAAAGAAAGGTAGTTAATGCAATGCATTTGCCAAAATGATAAAACATGGCTATGAAGAGGACATCTGAAGAAAGAAACAGAACCTTTATTAATGGCAACTCCAAATGCCATAAGAACCAATTATATGAAGGGCAAGACAAAAATAGCAAATAAGAAATAGAAATGAAAAAAAATAGTGTATAAAAATGTCAACTGTTTGGAAATAGAAATGAAACTTTCAGATTGGCTCAACCATATGAGCAAAGGTGTATAAAAAAAAAAAAATCGTATTTGTGACAGGTTGGAAAGTGAATAATTGATTGTGAACTGTGCAAACAACAAGGATTCAGCCATGCAAAACAAAGGTATATGAGCAAACAAGATTGTCTTAGAGGATAAAAAAAAAGAAAAACAAATCAAACTTTTGGTTAGAGGAAGGAAACATTTCAAATTATGGATTCTGTTGGCAGAACACAATTTGAAAGAAAGTGAATAATATAAATTATATATATGGAATATATATATATATATATATATATATATATTGGACACACACCTCATTTTATCCTTTTGAGAACTGAGAATATAACCTGTCTGAATTTTGTAGAATGAATGACCTAATCTCTTCAAGACTGTTCCCATGCTTCCTTCCAGCTAGGAAGAATCTTGAAGAACCAGAGTGTAAAGCGAGTGGCCATTATTAAATATAATTAAATAAATGGCAGAACTTTGAAAAAGTTTGCAATAATAAGAAAAAGAGTAAAAAATATAAGGCAAGCAAACAATATATGCAAGGGAAAGCAACAAGTAATATGCCAAAAAATTCTCAAACTAAGAATTGGGGTCGAGACACAAGCAACTTCAGATGAACAAATGCAGTGTTCTAACTTCAAATCAAGACAGACTGGGACTGAGTCAGATAAAACCAAGAAATGACCTATTTTATTGGCTAGGAAGAAATTCCAGCATACATTTATATGCTTCTGTCTATAAATTGTGTAGAGTGGGGGAGTTTTTTGCAATCATTCCAAATAGTATTGGAACCAAAATAGCAGAACTGGGAATCAAAGGAAGAGACCAAGTCATCCTGACAATGGTACTGAAAAGAATGCTGGAGATCTGCTGCCACACAAAATCTGGTATAAACCACTAGTTACAATGGGTGCAATCACTCAACAAGTGTAAAAATAACAAAGAAAATATAAATTACGAAAACAAGAAAATTTGCTAAGCGAAAACTTAAATTTATACTGGTACCAAGTAGGTGAGGTCTGTTATTTAATTTATACAGTTAAGTTAGATAAATAATGGTAAAGACTTAAAATTCTAAGCAAAAATTGGTAGAGATACTTACCGGATTGAAAGGGACAAAAGTGAGTTGGGTTGAGCCTCCCCCAAGATCCAAAGCAACAACAGTCGGCTGATTATTCACCAGCAAATCTGCAAAGATTTATTTTTTCAGAATTTAATTCAATTATTTTTTTAATACTTCGTTTTCAATCAAATAAACCTTTTAGTATTAAAGCTGATTTTTTTTTAATTAGTCTCAAACGTTCTTGTTCTACTGTCCATGTTTAGGGTTTTGTCTATTACCTTTTTTTTTTTTTTTTTTTTTTAGTACTGCTCAGTTATTGCTCACCCTCATTCTACTGAGTCTTTGTCTGTACCACCAGGGCCAAAGGATTGAACACACAATTACTTTTGTACTGCTCAGTTACAGCTCACCCCTGATTCCACTGAGTTTGTGTCTGTACTACCTGGCCCAGGGACTGAACTCACTATCATTACAAATTCACAAGCCATAGCTTTAACCATCTACTCTAAACAACAAAGACAATTCTAGCACTTATAGATTAAATAAATGCTTGTTTGAAATTCCCTCAAGGTTCTTGGGCCGACATAAACCTGTTCAAGTCTTGGGTTAACTGTTGTCTTCCCAACATATCCTCATAAGCTGTATCCCTTATCTCTTATGTAACACTACCTCGAGTGACACTTAGGCCTTGTACAGTGTAAATGTTATTGCAAAAAAAATAAAAATAAAAAACAGGGCAAGCAAAAGCTGAGTAATATGAAATGAAGAATTAGACAAGATATTGCAAGTCATGAACAGTAGAACAACAACAATCTATTCCTGTAGTTAAACAAAGAGCTCAGTTTGAAATTCCTTGAAGATTAGCTGAAGAAGGCCGGAGGATATATTGGCCAAAATGTTATAATAATAAAAAAAAAAAGATGAGGACTTTGGTAATTGTAATAATAGTTGTTTCCTTATAAGGAAATATTTGGCATTTATTGATCGAGCATCCATTGCTACTTTTGATTAAAATTTATAAAATCTTTCACTTAAAATATTTTTCTGGAAAATAAGTTTCTCAAGTCCACTGTTATGACTCCTTCCAACATTGATGGAGGTTTCCTTCCTAACTTTTTGTTTGAAGTCATATTGAACTTGATTATGTTGGTATTTTCTCTTCAGGTTTCAAGTGCTATCCATTTTAGTTGTTGCTATTGCTGCAAATCCTCAAGTCATGTGATTTCAGTTCTTTCTTGCAGTTCTTTATTTGTGATTCTCTCTGGCTGTAAATAATGATAACTCTTCATCACTGAAATTCAGACAAAAAGATTTGCACGCTAACTCCAGCCAACAGTACGCCTTCCTGTTTATGCCATTTTAATTTACAAAAGAAAGGTGGGAGAATTCAAATCCATCAAGCTTGGTAAGTACCTATATGGGTGACTACTTGCAAATACCAATATGTGGTATTGGGTATGACAATAAACTACATCCGCATCCTGGGTAAGACGATAAACTACGTCCAACAGCAAAGCCTCTGATCAGGAGGTTTTTGAGAGCGTGTGACCATCTCTTAATTGCTGGTGTTCTCAGGTTCACCCTGACCCGGGGTGGTAGCACCTGTTAGGGTCCCAGCTATGAGCAAATAGTTAACTTCAAAACTGAGTGTAAAAACAGGTTTTAATACCCCAAATAAAATTATTACAAGAAAAAAATTTTTGAAGAAAAAATACTATTACCATCAAGATATTTTGGAAAAAAAAAATATTACCAGCAATACATTTTTAAAAAAAAAAAAAAAAATATTATCAGCAATACATGTTTTAAAATAATATTACCAACTATACATTTTTGAGGAACACATTACCAGAAATAGATTTTTGACAAAAGAAAATATTACCAGGAAAAAAAAAAAAAAGAAAGTTGTCAGAATTAAATAAACCATTGATATGCCGTTAAACACAACAAACCAAACCAAACCAATATGTGGTATAATGGTTCAGAATGGCTCAGAGAACAGATTTCAAGGTGAAAACTTAAAATTTTTGATACTGGTATCAAGTAGGCGAGATCTGTTGTTATTTATTATAAGAAATCAGAGAAAGTTTGAATTGCAGTCAAATTTGTTACATTCACTTATACATAAATAACCTTAGGAAACACAAGAATCTGTAATGATTCATAAATAAGTAGCAGGAGTTATGTCCCCTGCCTTGTTAGGTTATAGTAAAGGAAGGGAAATAGATTTCCCATAATGAACTAGGAACAAAGTTTTCACGCAAAAATACAACGCCTCTTTCTTACCACCACTGTTAGACTAGAAAGACGTGTTTTTTTAAATTAGCTCACAAGAAAGATGTCTCGTCATACAGACAAACCTAAAATTATTTATTTTTTTGCATTAACACATACAAATCAATTATATAGATAATGATAGATAGATAGCTAATATTAGATAGCTAGATAGATAATATTAGTGGTCTATATATATATATATAAAAATTTCCAAGGGAATAGAATCCAGGTAGAGCTCAATGTCCAAGACAGAGCAAGAATATAATATAAAAGGCTCAAACAATAATATTCCATGGTTATAATTTATTACATTGGAATCGTAATCAAGATCCAAATCATCAGACCAACAAATTCATTGGATCGTGATTACAATTCCAATGTAAAAAATTATAACCATGGAATATTAGTGTTTGAGCCTTTTATATTATATAGAGTGTGTGTGTGTTCTGTGAATATGAGTTAATTATGTATGTTTAATCAAAAATCAATCATTTAACAAATATGTTATATCTTGTTGCATGCACACACAAATTGTTCATATTTTATTTCATATTTTCATGTAATATTGCACACAAATATTAATTTAACATATTGTAGACAGGTGATATAATCCCAGATAAAAATAACAAAACTAAGAACAAGGCGTCCCACAAATAAATCTCTCTCTTCTCCCACACCCAGGATAAAGAGAGTAGGGCAGATTAGGTGGGTGTAGTCTTGGTTGTCAGTCTAGGAGGAAGAAAACTCTGAATCCAAGCCAACCTGAAGATTGTTGACAAAGGGGGTATGAACGTTTTATAGGAGTCAAGGGCCACTATGCAGTTAGGAGATGGAAAACTCCTATTCAAAACCTTATGACTGTAGTATCATCTGACATGTGGCATGGACAGGACATGGGGTTATGATGGAGAGAGGAGAGGGGGCATTGCAGGACACAGGCCACTTTAAACAATTAATTTTGGCAGTCAGTTTATTAAAAAAAAAAAAAATTACTGAATTCTCATATGTTGTTTGAAAGGAGAGTCCATTCATATATATATATATATATATATATATATATATATATATATATATATATATATGAATGGACTCTCCTCTCAAACAACATGAGGGTTCAGTAATTTTTTTTTTAATAAACCACCTGCCAAATTAATTGTTTAAAGTGGCGTGTGTCCTGCAATATATATATATATAATAAAAAGAAAGCACAGTAATATATATCATCCAGTGTTCTTATTGATATTTTTATAAAACAGTGCTCAATATAAATTTGCATAGCATTAATATTATAAATTAACTGATTTTTAATTTAATTATATAATTAAATTTGAAGTTTTTAGCTTCAGTTTTTGAAACATGGTAATTCCTGTGTAGCGAAGAAACCATATTTTAAATCAGTTAATTTATAATTATATATATATATAATATATATATATATATATATATATATATATATATATATATATATATATATATATATATATATACACACACACACACACACACAGATATGTGTAAATAAGGATAAAATCATGTTAGGCAACA